CATCTTCCCAGGCTCGTGCGCCTTCTCACATGACTCCTTCGCTCCCGACCAATGACTCACAGAATCCCAATCAAACTTCACCTTACAGGTAAGCCTCGTTTAATTTAGGTATTGTAAGTGAAAGTACCGGTAACTGATCTTATAAAAACAAGAGAAAGTTAATTGTCACTTGAATTTCATAGTAAGCAATTAAAGGATATGATGTTGAGCATGACATCATGAAAAATTGAAGTCTGAGTTATCTGAGGAGCAGTAATTCACAAACGGATAATAGTAAGCTTATAAGCAAAATTATCAACAAGTAATATAGAAAAAGATATTTGTTGAAAACAAGATATATTAGCTGACGAAACAAAGATACAGATGTCAACATTCCATACTTTCTGTGTCTATCAATTAAAAATCATCTGCCATGTTACGGGCTCTAAATTGTACTAATAAAAAGATGACTACATTGATAAAACACACAAACATACCTGTGATGACTATAAAATTTTATCACCTGAAAGCAAAATAAACAATTTATTAATTCCCCTTCCAATAATTTTCCTCTACACACACCTCTGCAGGTCAAGAGAATCTGACCACGGCTATCACAAGACCTGTGGCTGTGAGACCATGGAGGACTCGTATGTTTTTCTACATATCATGAAATGATATATATTATGAAATCAGATGCAGTCTTAAATAATCAATTTTCTTAAGCACAATTTGTCACCATACATCAATTTAAGCCACTGACTTCATCTTCCTGTGAATACATTTCCTGCACAGTACAGATAGATCAATAAACAGTGTCTTCAAATTAAAGTTTAAATTGAAAACTTTTCAATACATTTGTCTTATTATGAGCTCACCAGAACCTAATTCCTTGAGGAAGAGTTATTCATTCAAGACCTTATCTACTCAGTGAGTGAAAGTATTACTTTATTGCATAGAAAACAAAACACATTTACCTTGTATATCGTGCTAAATTTGACTGCACAGTTTTCCTTGTGATAACATATCCTTTTAAACATCATGCAGCACAAATAATGCAAAAATTATAGTAGACAATAATTATCATAAACATGTCACAAAATTCTTCACCTGCTGATCAAGGGTTTCCCTTGCATGAAGTGCAGCAACATTCTGTAAAGCAATCAGAGTGAAACAGCTGTGTGAAGAACACAGCCACCTGACCCATCTTAAGGGCAGTTTCTCCCTGATATACCCGAAGGTTTTAATAAATTGTGCAATCATTTGTTAGCCACTTCAATCAGAAGTAATATTTAAACTTATTATCCAACTGTGCTTCATAGAGTACAAATAATGCCCAAAACAAGTACAAACATCTTGCAGTATTTGTACTCCAGAGAACCATAAACAAATATCCACAAAATTTGCCTGCACTGAAACAACAATTTGGTGTGTTGGATAGTAAATCTCTTATTTAACGTTTTGTTGTGTAGTATCACTGAGTATTTTTACTCACTGTTTGTATTTTGACTCACTGTTTGTATTTTGACTAGCCCTAAGTGTTGGTCAAAATACAGCACAACTTGTAAAAATACTCAGCCATACTACACAACAAAATGTTTAATGTATGTATGTATGATGCACGATCCTTTGCAGTAGATAGCGCTATTTATGCAATAGTGAAAATCAGACCTGAAAAAAAAAAAAAAAAAAAATCAGGCCTGTATGGGCCTGTATGATTTTTTTTTTTTCCAGGTCTGATTTTCGCTATTGCATAAATAGCGCTATCTACTGCGAAGGATCGTGCATCATACGTATTTAATATCGCGGTTCAAAATATATGAACTTCATATATTCATTGTAACCAAAATGTTTAATATGATATAAATTCAACAGTATGGTCTGGCTAGGAGACCTCTAAGAAACTGCCAGCCTTATAGTACAGTATGTCATTGGCTACTTCCTTGGCAGACTGCTGAAAAGAAATTTGACTCCATAAAACACTGGAGTTAAACTTGTGCTTTTAGCTGATGTTAGTTTGTCCAATAACAAGTCTGATACACACACTGTCCTCATTAAGTACTAAATTTGAGTTGTCAATAACCAATCAAGTTCAAGATATTTATGTTACAGTTTTCTTTGTCCTGGATCAACCCTTACCCTCCTTGTGCAATGATCACTTGTTAATTTATTGGCACATCTCCAAACAATATTCCTGGCTGGTTCTTCTTACCTATCTGCTTCATACTAGATAATTATATGGTACTGAAAGGAGTATTTAAATACAGATGACTCCGCCAGGTCAAGGTCCAAAGATAGATACTGTAACAGTTATTCATGGAAACTTGGTTTAGAACTCATTTAAGGGGGTTTGCAAGGTTCCCACCTCTGTCAACTTTTCTCAAAATCACTTTTTTGGCAACTTAAAGAAATAAAAATGCTGCAGCTTGTTGTAAAAGGTTCTTCACGACAGTCAGCTTGCAAGTTGATAATCAATCTATACCAATGCTAGATAATTCCAAAACAGACTTACAGAGGGGTAGAGATTGTGGGTTTCTGCAAAGGCAACAAATGTTTCAGCATCGTAATCCCCCAACTCAGCTGTTGAAAATAAATTAAAGAATTCTGAATATTTGATATCATTTAGAAACAAAAAGATATAAACCAAGCCCATAGCATTTGTTGTGAATACCATTAATTCAAAATTTACTCCAATTGCCGTGCAACAATTTTTTTCTTTGATTCAAATGCAAACTACAATGGAACCAGACTTGTGAAAATTGGGCTGAATAGTCTGGATAATCAAGAGTCCAAACAATCAAAAATAGAAATATCATTGAGCCAAAAAATAAAACTGAATACTTAACAATTGGTTCATGCTTTAGCGTGCACTATCGAGTTATGGAGCACACGGGAAGTTTGGAGAGCACGAAAGAAGCGTAAGAGTTGCCCGAGGCGATAGCCGAGGGCAACTCTAGCTTCTTGAGTGCTCTCCAAACTTCCCACGTGCTCCATAACTCGATAGTGCACAGCTGAAAGCATGAACCAATTGTTTTAGAACATAGCCGGTGGAATTGTGCATCAAATCCGACGCGAAAAACGGACAACAATATCAGTTGAAGCGAATCGTGACGGCGCTGATGCCGAGTCTCCTTTTCCTTTGTTTTTCTCTTTTTCTGCCTCATTTAAGAACTCTAGCCCAAGGGAAAAGGTC